TGCCTTCCTTTGCACAGGGTAATTACGAGCCAGGGAAACGCCACTGGCTGAAGGTGAAGAAGGATTATCTCAACGAGGGAGCAATGGCTGACACTGCTGACCTGGTGGTGCTGGGGGCTTTCTATGGACAAGGCAGTAAAGGTAGGTCTGGAGGTGGCTTAAGTCAGAGATCTGTCTGTTCCAGGAACTCCCAAGGTTTTCCTGTCCCAGAACTCCAGAATGAGGGTGGCTGGAGCAGTGGTTACCAGCTGCAGCCCATCATGTCCTTGCTGTGCCTTTGCTGTGGGCTGCTTGGCACAGCAGGGCTGGAGGTGTTGGGCTGGGCTGTTGCACAGTGCAGAGGCTCTGTTCAGCTTTGTGAGCGGCCCTGCAACCATCACAAGCCCAGGCCCCTTTGACTCCCAAAGATACAAAAGGGTTTTGGCTCAGAAAAGCTGTGGCTTGTCCAGTGCAAGGTGTGAACCTTGCTGTCCCTGTGCAGGTGGGATGATGTCCATCTTCCTCATGGGCTGCTACGACCCCAAGACTGAGAAGTGGTGCACGGTGACCAAGTGCGCTGGTGGCCACGACGATGCCACCCTGGCACGTCTGCAGACGGAGTTGGACATGGTGAAGATCAGCAAGGTGAGAGGGGGGAGCCCAGGGATGCTCAGCTGCCCTCGAGGTGCTGCTTCACTGCAGGGTGGAGGTGCCCTGCCAGGAATGAATCACATCAAGCACTTGACACAAGTGAGGTGTCAGAGCAGCCAGCTCCTGGAGGAGGCACTGCCTGGGATCTGTACCCAGACACTCAGTGGGAAGCCAGGCACCATCTGTTTCCTGCTAGGACGAGGTTTTGTTGGGAAGATAGTGATTTTTTATCTGGATTTTTTGGCACGTTGTGATTGGCAAAGGCAGTCACTAGATGGGGCTGTGGGAGGGAAATGCTCAGTCAGGCTCTGGTCTGGTGGCTCCATAACCTGGGGTTGGAGTTAAGATTTCTGGCAGTGGTTTATCTTGCTTTCCAAGGCTGGACAAATAAATAGAGAGCTGAATTTTAATATCACCTTGACATCCTGAAGGCCATTTGCATCAAGGTTGTAGAATCTTTTTTAAAAAAAGGGTAGTTTTACATTAATCACAATTGGATCAACTTCTTGTTTCACACACAAAATTACAGGAATTGAGGGCTGTGTTTCAGGCAATACTTGTCATTTTCTAGATGAAAGAAATGGCTGCAGATCAGTGCAAATTCCATCCATGCAAAGGCAATGTAATACCTCTATTCTGATCTACTTCTAGGTTGTGTTTCAGCAGCTTCTGTTGTAGAGTTAGGTTTATATATGATGATAAGTGTCAATGATTTGAATTTTGTGCTTTTAATTAATAGGATCCTAGTAAAATTCCAAGGTGGCTAAAAATTAACAAAATCTACTACCCAGACTTCATTGTCCCAGATCCAAAGGTAAGTGCTCTCATAATCATTTAACATTTCCCAGCCCTTATTCTGCAATCCTCTATAAATCCTTTAGAAGGACAACTTAGAAGTTGTCTCTGTTACAAAATAAATCTTCATACTTGGAATGGGAAATTAAGCACAAGTTTTTATCTCTCAATCTTGCAGGTGCATTTGAGGCTAAGAGCTTCATGAAGAAATGACACCTGCAGCAGTTTTGGGAAATATTCTTGTGCATTAAATCCCTTCCAGAAGTGAGCTTGCTTTAAATTTGAGATATAAGAAATCTGACTGAAAAGGGTTAAAACACAAAGGGTTTCTTAAATCTGACTTAAAAGGGTTGAAACTACAACCCACAAGTTGCTGTTGTTGTAGGGAGTGTGTCAGTATGCTCTGTATGCCTGAAGGAGAAGGTGTCACTTAGAAATTGGCTTAGTGAAGGATCCTGGCTTGGAGGAAAAGTAGGTTTGAATAAAGAGGGTGACCAGCAAGGTCACTTTGTGTACATGGAGCTGTGCTGGGGAGGAGAGTGAGTGGGGTGAGGCACTTTGAGCTGGCTCCTGAGAGGGAGGGCACGGGTGTGACGTGGTTTCCCCCCTGTGTGTGCAGAAAGCGCCGGTGTGGGAGATCACAGGGGCCGAGTTCTCCAAGGCGGAGGCGCACACTGCGGACGGGATCTCCATCCGCTTCCCGCGCTGCACCCGCATCCGCGACGACAAGGACTGGCAGACTGCCACCAACCTGCAGCAGCTCAAGGTGGGTCAGCACAGGGCCCTGCAGCTTCAGACAAATCACAAATCACTGCTGCCTGTCACGGCACCTCCTGGTTTCCCTTCATGCCAGGCTTGGGCTGGGTTGTTCTGCTGGAGGCCTCCCAGGTCCCTTGAGCTGTTGTGGTTTGTGCCCTGTCAGAGAAGTCTCTGCAGGCAGTTGTTTCCATCAGCTCTTGTGGCAGGGTGAGGAATTGCCTTCCTCAGAGGTGACCACAGAATTACAGCATGAACTCAGTTGGAAAAGACCTTTTGAGAGCATCAAGTCCAACCTGTGAGCTAACACCTCCCCAGCAATTAAACCAGGCCACTGAGTGCCACATCCAGGCTTTTTTTAAACACGTCCAAGGATGATGCTGACCTTTGTTCTCGTCATACTCGCTCAGTTTCCCAGCACTTGCTGAGACTGGGAGAGGCATTTGGGAAGTGCCTGTGGGTATCCTGGGGCACAGGGACCAAGTGGCACCAGCCAGGACCCCCGGGCTGCAGCCAGCCCTGGCAGTGGGAAAGCTGGGGAGCTCTGTGCTCGGGGGAGCTGCTGCAGTTTGGGGCTGGCAGCAGCTGCCAGGGCTGCTGTGCCATGGAAGGCAGGAGTGATGCAGCTCCCAGAGCCTGCCAGGATCCCCATGGGGAGGAGAGAGGAGCAGACCCCTCTGCAGATGGGCCCTGCTCATCCTTCAGGCTCTTGCTCTGTTGCAAATGATGTGGATGTGGCTTTTGCTCCTGCCTGTGTGGCTTCCCTTAATGCCAGAGAGGGGTGGAATGCAGGGAGCTGGGACAGAGGTGACAGGAAAATGACTGCAGAGAGGTGCAGGAAGAAAAGACTTTTGAGCAAACACTTCAGGGAGGAGAACACCAGAGCAGTCTGTGCATCACAGCTCGTGTCCCGTGTCAGATGTGATCAGGGCTGTTTCTCTGCGCAGGAGCTGTACCAGCTCTCCAAGGAGAAGGCTGATTTCAGTGTTACAGCTGTGGAGGAAGATGAATCCACAGCTGGCAGCAGTGGAGAGAACGATGGGAATTCCAGGTCTTCCACACCTCACAGCAGTATTAAGAGTCCCCCAAGCAAGTCACCTGCAAAAGCCCAGAAGGAAGAAGGTAAGATGATGGTGCTGTCAGGAAGGAGTTCTCTGTGCTTGGGGTAGGCTGGCTCTGGGTCCTTGCCTTCTGTCAGAGACTTGATGGTCCCACCTTTCACGTGGCTCTCAGGGTTAATGGTCAGAGCTGTTCAGATCCTCGATTTGGCCCTGTATGAATTTAGTAGCCACAGCTCTGAGATGTCCTGGGATTGGGAAAAGAGGGATGGAAACAGCTCTGATGATGCTGTTCAGGTTGGTGTTCACTGCTCCCATGTCTGCAGGTCACAGCCCTGTGGTTAGAGCTTGTTGGCCGTGAGCCAGTATTTAATTTGATTTGGATGGGATTCATGTGGATTAAAGGAGACGTGGCTGGAGGTGATTTCCTGGTGAATTGAGCTGGAACATGAAGCAGATTGCTGAGCAGTTTCACAGAGTGGTGACAGCACGGAGGGGAGGTGGCAGCAGCAGCCTGGGAATGGGGCAGTACAAAAATGTGTCTCATTAGTGACAGTAATTCATGGACTTTCCAGAAAGAGGGGAGAAAACCTTTCCCTTCTGCTCTTTACTCTTTCCCCCAACATTCATACACAACCAGCATCTGGACAGAGCACGTGCATGAGCCAAATTTTTGTTTTTAGACAGCAAAGGAATCATTGGATCCCCTCAAAAATCCGAGGAGAAACGAGGGGAGAAGAGAAAAGCATCTGAGATGGAGGACAACGGGAAGAAGGTACAGACAGCACCCACAGCAGGGTGGGGGGCGGCTGGGGCAGTGTGGTCTGTTCACTCTCATTCCAAGGAATGCCTGTCCACTTCCATTCCAAGGAATGTCCACTTCCATTCCAAGGAATGCCTGTCCACTTCCATTCCAAGGAATGTCCACTTCCATTCCAAGGAATGTCCACTTCATTCCAAGGAATGCCCACTTCCATTCCAAGGAATGCTTTGCCTGAGCTCTGTTTCTCCTTCCCCCTCAGCAGCCGCTGCTGGACATTTTCACGGGGGTGAGGCTCTACCTGGCGCCCTCGGTGAAGGACTTTGACCGAATCCGCCGCTACTTCATCGCCTTCGACGGGGACCTGGTGTGCGAGGGGGACACGGCCTCGGCCACCCACGTGCTTGGGGACATTGCTGACAGCCCCGGGGCCCAGCGGGTGACTGCCAGGTGGATCTGGGAGTGCATCCGCAAGCGCAGGCTGCTGGCCCCGTGCTAGCACTGAGCAGCTGGGCCAGGGAATGGGGACATCCCTCCATGCAGATGTGGATAGACAGGCAGTGCCCTCAGAAGTAGCTACAAAGAGCCAGAGCAGCCCTATGGAATGAATTAAAAAAGTTCTCTGAAGAAATGTCACTGCTGAATCCCATTTTCCTGCCCGTACTGTAGACCACTGGCTGTATCCAGGTGCTGGTTTAGTCTCCTTGGGTTTTTAAAATTTGGGTATTTTTATAGATAAATAAAACTGAAGCAGCTTCTTCTTTGCTGTCAGGACTTATTTTCCAAAGGTTCTTCTCTTCCTGCTCAGGAAAAGAGAGCAGCAGCTCCATGGGACTCTTGCCTGTGGTGCCAAGGTCATTTGTGTTGTCAGGTAATTTTTTTCTCCTCCACCTCTTCTGTACCCCCCCATTAACAGCATTTCAGCACGTGGAATCCCAATTTCTGGCTGAGGTTCAGCAGTAGCTGTAGGATCTCTGCTTGTAACAGAGTCAGAAACAAAGTTAACTAAATCACAATTCAACTTTATTATAAAATTATAAACCAGACTTCTGTACCAAAACTAGTAAGTTGAACTGTCATAGTACCAGAGAATTTAACAGTGAATAACATGCCCTTTCAAGTAGAACATTAAGTTTTAAAGTCTTTAAACAATGTACAGTGTACATAAAGCACATAAATATTTCCATTTACTTTATTAGTTCAGAACATTATATTCCTTTGGATCATTAATCAGTTTCCTCCAGATTTTCATTTTCCTTTAAAAACAACTCACTCATATCCATAAGAGAATCCATTTTTATACATGAAACAAGAGTCCTCCATTCACAAAGCACATTTTGAAGTCACAGGGTGGGTGGATCTTCTCGTCCCTAAAGTTTCAGGCATTGATCTGCAGCTTGATTTAATTGCTGTAGAAAATCAAGCCTACCCTATACAAGGAAAAGTACATCTATCCATAGGGGAATCATCTTCCTGCTAAACTCCCCCAGCCCTGAGTTCATTGAAAAATACAACAGCATGAATTTTCACAGTGGATTTCCTAAAAGAGGCTTTGAGCACGTTGTGTATTCATTCCTGCAGCTCTTCGAGGTCCCTGTGCTCTCCAGAGCCAGCAGTCACTTTCTACCTGCCCTTTTCTCTGTCGTGCTGCTCTGACTTGTTCAGTTTGTTCTCATGCTGGATCTGTTAAAACTTAAATCAGAGATACAGAACAGCCTGGCCTGGGACAGAGGTAGAACTCAGAATCTCGAGTTCAGCCAATGCAGCAGCTGCTGCAGTTTTGTGGAGTTCTGGGAGCACCTCAGTGAGAAATCCCTGTCTCTCTCCTGCTGCCTCCCCAGCCGTGGATTTCTCATCCCAGCCCTGTTTTGGCTGCAGTGCCCAGAGCAAATCCCTGCACTGGCTGCTCCTGAACTGCCCTGTGCAGAGCACAGCAGCTGAATGCGCTGTTGCCATCCTTGCCGCTGCACAGGAGCTCTGCTGCTGTCCCTGCAGCTGCACTTCAGTGCCCAGGAGCTGTGAGGGGAGTTGGTGCTGGTCCCTGCTGGCAGCCAGCTGAACATGGAGCCATCCCCTGTCCCCAGAGCAGCCAGGACAGCTCAGCCTCAGCTGCCCTGCACTGAGGGGACAGTCCCTGCTCCTGGACACTGAGGGCAGCAGGATGCTCAATCAGCCCTGAAGCCCTGGCTGCCTGCAGGCCATGAGGGGAAAACACACCAGTTACAGTCACCTCCTGCAAGAACTGCCAGCCTGCTCTAGCAAATCTCCAGCCAAACACACTGCCCAGGAGAGCTGGCAGGGACCAGGCCACAGCCTCTCCCCACCCTCACCAGCAGAAAGGACAAAACTGCTTTTGATAAGCAGTGGAAGGTAACAGAACTGTAAAACAGTCCTGGGGAGGACGGGCAAGCTGATCTGCAGTGGAGATTGCTCCTGGATCCAAGGGACACAAAGGCTTTCTTCCATGAGTCCCTTCTAAAAAAAGACAAAGTCACCTGCACTTAAATATGATTGTGTAGCAGTGGAGTCCTCACTAAACCCTGGGGAAGACTCAAGCCTTGGATTTGTGGCTCCCTCAGTGAGGGCAGTTCAGTTTGAGCCCCACCTCTGGCACGAGCTGTGAAGTCAAAGTCGACAAAATCAAACCAGAACCCTCCCTCTGGCACAGAAACAAAAACCCAGCACACAGAACAAGGCTGAGCCTTCCCAGCCTCCCTCCCCAACAGTTTTCAATAGTACAAAGACAACCTTGATATAAAATTACACATTTTTCCACAATTGCACTAGGCTGGAATTAGGGAAAGCAGGGATGGTCTGCCTGTCCTGCAAGCATAACAATTTTACATTAAATTAAAAATAAAAGTACAATTAACAAGCACAGTAACATTTTAATCTTTGAAAATCGAGTTGTTGCTGGGCATAGCCTGAGCAGCAAAACAAAGGACACTTTTTGAGACCCCAGTTCACTTTTATTATTCAGAGATAAATACAAAGCCTCTGGAGCTGATCTTCCTGGTGGAAAGCTGGGCATCCATCTGTCCTCAAATTTTCCTAGGATGGAGGTGGTTAATGATTGCTGGCAATGAGCTCCAAGGAGTCCAGGCACTGTGGTGTAAAGCACGATGGTGGGATGAGCAGAGTCGGGCATGGCTTGAGCAGAGCGCTTTTCCCCAGGCTTCCTGCTCGCCTCTCCTGCAGCTGATCTCCAAGGCAGCTGTGGCAGGGATGTCTCCCTTTCCCCAGGAGCACTGAGGCTTTAAGGCACAGCAGCCCCGAGCCCAGAGCCACCTCTATGTCCTGAAGACGTGCACGGCCCTGATGACGTACTGGCGGCAGATGGGGCACTCGCTCATGCGCTTCCCGCACTTGGTGCACGTCACCATGTGCCCACACTCCAGCAGCACGCAGTCGATGGGAGCATCCATGCAGATCCTGCACAGGTTGTCCTCGGTGCTGGGGGGCCCAGCACCACCTGAGGGGACAGGAGAGCACGGAGGGGTCAGACAGAGGGAGGTGTGAGGGGTTGGTGCCGTCCCAGTTGGCTCTGCTGAAGGGATTCCCCAAGGGAAAAGGTGTGCAAAGGAATTCCCCTTGTGGCTGCTCCATCGGCTGCCAAGGAGCAGAAGTTGCAGCTTTTACACAGTGAATTCTGTGAGATGGAAACAAATACCACTGAGATTCTCAGTGATGAGGCAAATGAAGCAACATGGGTCTCTTCCCAAGTAACAGCACACGAGGGAATGACCTCAAGCTGTGCCAGGGAGGTTTAGACAGCAATTTTTCCTGATACTCATTTGCAAGCTCTGGAACAGGCTGCTCAGGGCAGTGGTGGCATAAACAACCCTGGGGGCTGGGGAGGGTTAAAAGCCATGTGGATGTGGCATTTGGGGACATGGTTTAGGCAGTTCTGGTTGGACTGGATCTTGGAGGGTTTTTCCCAATAAACAACTCCATGATTAAGGATCTCACTCACCAGTTTGATCATCAGTGTCCAAAACTGCAACAGAAGAAGAGAGGGATTTGGTGAGAATCTGAAAAGCTGGGAGAGAAGTGTTACCAGGCAGAGGCTGAAAACCTCGAGGGAGTTGCTAAACCAAAACTGCTTTTTGCTGATCACCATGGGAGGTTCAGGCTGGGCTCTGATCAGGACAGGTTCAACAACTGACAAGAACTTTCTCCAATACTGAGCTTACAGAACTGTTAAAGCTTCCCACAGATAAGGGATCCAAAGGGATGTCTCAATTTTTAAGACAGCCTTGGAATGTGTGCAGAGTTTGGCTTTCCCAGTGCTGCACCTGCAGCAGCCCTCTGCCAGTTCCTCTGCTGCTACACAATCACCAAGTGATTGAACACAGACACAGAGTGAGTGAAGGAAAAGGATATATTGCATCAAAAGCACAAGATAATGAGAGAATGTAACCCCAAAATTGCTGTCTTAAATCTTGGATCATCCATAGAAGACAAAGCCTAGAGAGACGTGTTTAAGAAAACAACACTACTTTGGACAGCACTGAGAAACAAAGTGTGAAATCAAAGTGTTAAAGTAAGTTTCTCATGTAAGTAATTTACAAATATGTGTATTTTCTAAGAAATCCCCTCAAAGTGCTAACTGGCACCTGGAAGATCAAGCTAGATATCTTCTCTGCACATCTGTGTTCCCTCAGAGCCACCTGTGCAGGCCCAGGAACATTCTGGTGGTGAGAGAGTGAAACCCCAGCCACCCACAGCTGGGCAGCCCTGGCAGCCACTGCTCTGAGCACATGCCCTGAATCTCCCAGCTGCTCTTTGCTGGCAGTTTCCTGCCTGGGCAGGGCATTTCCCTGCTGGCTTTGCCAGGTACCCAAGCCAAGAGATAAGAGCTCAGCATATCCAGTCATGTCCAGCCACCCAGCAGCTGGTGTGAGGGTGAGGCAGTGCCCAGTGCTGGGGGCATGCACAGCCCTTGTGCTGCTGCTGCAGGGCTCCCAGAACTCTCCTCAAACAACAACAAGGACTGGTGAGCAGAGCTCAGCTCCTTTCGCTCTGTACAAAACACTCCCTCCTTCCTCCTCACTCTGCTGCACCAGAAATGTCAGGTAAGTTCTATTTCCTTGTACAGCTGTCCATAAAAGGCTAAACCTGGAAAACAGGCCCACATTTGCTAAGTGTGAAAAATGCATATTTTATGATTGGCTTTTCGCAAATGTTACAATGAATATTATATGTGTAATGTTAGAAAGTTATGCTGTATTAATTATTTTACGTAGTGTATAAATGTAGTTTTAGGTTACAACATAATGTTAAAATAGAAACTCTGAGATATAGGATTTGTTACAATCTCAAGCAGGAAGATGAGATAATCAAGAAACTCTACACAGAGATGTCAGCGAAGGGGGCCCACAAAAAGTTACAGCCTCCTTATCAGAAAAGACAAAAATTCTTCCACCTTTTCTCCATCTTTGTGGAACCAACAGGATTAAGGAGAAGTTAACAAAAACCAGAAAAGTTCTTAATTTGCAAGGAATTTATGCATCATGTACGAGATACATGAATATGCAACAGGCTATTGCTTTTAAGGTTATTCCTTTGTTCACAAGGGATGCTTTTTGTGACTTAGCATCCGAGAGCATCTGGACACCTGTACTTCTTTGCTTTTTATTGCCTTGTAATTGTCCTAACTCTAAATTTTATTACTCTAACTGTATTACTATTTTTATAATCATTTTATTATTATTAAACTTTTAAAATTTTTAAAAACCAAGTGATAGGCGTTTTTCACACTAAGTCTCTCACCTAGATGTTGAAGGTCCTTCTCTCTGTAGAGGCGAGTGACCCTCTCCAGCAGCTCCCACTTCTCACAGCAGCCTTTGTAGTTGACGAAGTTGCGGGCGAGGATTTCCTTCAGCTGGCGCACGGAGAGCGCGCTGATGTCCCCGACGCTCGTCAGGTCAGACAGGGAGGCCTTCCTGCCCAGCACCGGGTTCTCCTCGGAGTCACTGGACTGGCAGGGAGCACAGAGGGAATCATTCTTGCCCTCAACACCTTGAGCTACAGTATCAATCAACTTCCAGCATGTGTGTTAGCAGGAATTCAGGTTTGGATGTACAGAGAAGTGGCTACTCTGAATTCATCTACCAGAAACACAAATTTTGAGATAGAACCTATCAATTTCTGCTATGGTGTCCAAGTGACACCAGTTCTTTCTGTATGTGGAGGACAAGATGATGCTACAGAAAGCATTGACTGGGTTTGGTCAGCCTCAGTTGCTGTTCACGTCTGGTAGCAAATCCAGCCCAGCAGACCTGGTATTCCCCCTGCCATCCAGTTCCAGCACACACAAACCTGTATCTCATCCTCTGCTGCTGCTTCTTCTGCTGCATTCTCAGCTGCTGTTCCATAGGCTGGGCTCGGAGGCACGTGGCCATTGGCCTGGAAGAGGAAATGAAGCTTTCACCAGCTGTGGGTTTCTGGAGGGAAATCAGGACAGTGTCACTGCAGTCCCTGACCCCTGGAAGGACACAGGCAGGACAAGGCACAAGCCAGGCACACACAGAGGGTTTTCCCTGTGCAGCACTCACACAAAGTAACACTTGCTGCAGCTGAGCCTTTAAAGCCCCAGTTCAGAACTCCAGGCTGGATCAGGAGCAGACCAAATGCACACACCAAGTTTGTAAATGTGTATGTGCAGTCCTTCCCCGAGGGTCACACGGAGCTGTGGTGTGATGGCAGAGCTCCCAGTGCAAGGCTCTGCAGAACCCTCCTCTAGCAGCTCAGATCTTCACACTAACCAGGCAAACACCTCCTCAGGTGGGCTCTGGAGTGGGCAAACAGGAGACACCCAGCAAGGGAGCAGCAGCAAGAGAGCTGGAGGAGAAACACTGGGCAGTTGCTTTGAACTTGATCAAATGAGCCGTGTAATTTCAGCTGACTCACCCCCAGCAGCCACTGTTCCCTCTGGTTTCCTACTGACAAAGAGACTGTAATGTTACCATCCCACTTACCCAAGTGGGGACTTGTTAACATTTACAGAGCCCAAGAATAACAATCAGGATCAAAGAGCCTGAACTGCAGCACCATGTCATGCAAGTCAAGACAAGAAGCTGAAATGTATCATGGGGCAGTGAGGGAAGAAAGCAGAGCTGGTAAAAACTGGAATGGCAATATCCAGAAAACCAGGGAATGAAAATGCCTTTTAATGATTTGTAAAAAGCATTCTCCCAGGAGAACTCTTCTTTTGAACTAGGTAAATATGCTGAGAAAGCACAAGGTACACACATTTTCACAGCTCTGGCCCACAGGGAACTGAATACACCCATTCACTTTGTAACAGGACAACGAGCAGATGTCAAACACTGAGTAAACTTTCCCTAGCAGAGAGCAGAAAGACAAACAAAGCAAGGTCAATAAAAAATAATTAAACTCAAATGCCCCTGCCGAGGTTCATCAGAACGGCAGGTTCATCATGAACCAAGACTGCCAACAGACTCAGGGTTTGTCTTCTATTGATGTGAGTGCAGGAGACACCACAAACCTCACCCATCCCCCCTCACCTCTGAGCAGTTCCAGATCCGAAACTGCTTTAGACTGTCCTTGTTATCTGGCACAGGAATTAAAGAGCAGTATCAACTACTTAATTACACCTACAAACATGTCAGCAAGTACCAAAGGAAGCAATCACAGGAGCATCTTGTGGCAGTGGAAGTGTGGAGCAGTGCACCAGAGAAAACACTTCCCAGAGCAATGATGATGTTCTGAGAGTGAATGCTCGAGATATTCAGCACTGCCCACCAAATTATATTCCATAATGAACAGCACATCACAGTTGGTGACAGCAAGTCACAGCTTTACACAGCAAAACCACATGCAACATCTTAGTAGTTAATCCAAAAATGGAGATGAATGAGTGTGCAAAACATGGTTCTGGCCAGAGATTGTACCTGTTGGTGTTCCTGAGCTTCTGAACTTGAGATGGAATCTGCAGACACTGAGGACTCATCGTGTGAGGTAGGAGAGGCTGGGCTGGTTGCGGGGTGACTCACAAAGTCTTGCTGTTCACTGGTATTAAATGTGTTTGTTCTTATCTGATCTTCCTGGGTAATTGCAGGCTGCTGGCCAAGGATCAGGAATACCAGGTCCTCCTTTTCACGACAGAGCTCTGTGGAGATCTCACGGAGGGCCAAGTAATCTCGCAGATCCTTCACCTTCATCTTGATCAGCTCCTCCCGCTGAAAAGCCGTGGCTCGGAAGCGCTGGCAGAGGTGGCAGAGCAGGGGCCCACCCTCGGGCTGGTTTGAGCAGGACGTGCAGAAACTCTTCTTACAGTCCAAGCAGATGTGCTGGGAAGGAGAGGGGAAGGAGAGGGGAAGGAGTCAGAGCCAGCCCGTGCTGGAAGGAAGCAGCCGCTGCTCTTAAAGCACAAAACCCCTCAAATCCATTAAAAAGTGCCAAGTGGTCACCCCTGTTCCTAGAGGAGGAAAAGGATTGATCCCTGAGCAACCACCACGTTTCTCAGTTCTTAGGGAAGCCCCACTCCATCTACCCAGAATGAAATGTGATATCCTGACAAGATTCCCTCACATACAGGAATTTTCTGCACCTGCTCATGCAGTTTAAGCCAGAGGAAATCAGGAGATGGAGGCAGCAGACTTGTGAGTGAATTCCAGCTGGTTGTGCACATTGCTCTGTACATTAAGAAGCTCAGCACTGAAGAAACTAGTTAAAAAGCATTTCTCTTTCATAAATACCTGCTATGAATGACATTCCTCCCTCCATTTTTTCCATTGCAATTTGCTGCAATCACAAAATGAATCTTGGTTTCACCGTAAGAGGGACAGGGAACAGCCAGATCTCACAGACATCAAAGAATCTGACATTTGTTTATACAAAAACAGCTTATTTTGAAAACAATATGCACACTTTATACCAGTTAGTGCTAGACAGAAAGTGTTGGAAGTTTTGGAAATATGCCCCAGACAGTTAAAACCTTTACAGATTTAATTCTGTTGTTAAATGTTTCTGTTTGATACTGGTTCTGATCTTGTCACTCAGGGCTTGATTTTCAAAAGTTCCAAGCACTCACAGTCCATGCTGACTTCTGAAGAAATTTGACTGTTCAACCCTTTGGGAAGACAAAGTCTATGTTTTCCAATAGGAATAGCAGCAGAACAGCCACATTATGTGCCTGTTAAAAAGTCCTGAGGGAAGAAAGAAGTGGTTCCAGTGCTGGTTAAAAATGCCAATTCACAGTCTCAGAGAAGCCAAGCACCTCCCTGAAATCCTGACATCCTGATCCTTCAGAGCTGTGCAAGGAAAAACACACAGGTGAAGTTGCAGAAGTAATAAATACAAACTCAAAGACAAAAAACTGGTATATGAACTGCTCTAGTGAATGAAGAACATCCCAGCCGAAAGGAAGCAGATGTTTTACAGGGTGTAAATACACCACCTGCTTACAAAAGCTCTTTCTGATGCCCTTTTCAGCCTGAAACCCTCCCTGCTCCCCAGTTAACACCTCCAGGCCTCTCATTTAGAGCCTGTACTACACTCACAGTGACACTTACTGGAAAGAATCCCAATTTCCTGCTCAAGCATTTTAAGACATTAACATTTCTACCACAGAGAGAAATTCTTGAAACTGTATCTCAAAACTGCTGTTTGGGGGCCTGCCAAGGAAAAGCAACTTTCACCAATCACAAAGCAAGGCAGGAAGGGCAATTTCCACAGCACATCCAGTTTGGAGGAGTTTTCCTTAACTTCATCACCACAAAAAAATTAATATGTAATTGGCTTTTTGTGACCCTGTGATTGCAGAAGCAATCCTGTTCCTCAGGAAATTTTCAGAGCAGAGACAGGAACTGATGGCTGTGCATGCCTAGAGCAGGGGAACAAAACAAATCCACAAAGGTGGAGAAGTGGAAATTACCCTGTTGGTAACACTTGTCCTCTGAGTCTCCCATCTCTGACATGGGAAAAATCAGATTAATTGAGATTTAAAAACCCCAACACCCAACAACACAAAAAATGCACAAAACAACCCCAAACCCTGAAGCAGCCCCACTTTCCTCTGGCAGGGGAAGGTTGGCCTGCAGGTTGCCAAACTGGCTCCAGAGAGATCCCCTGTATTGCCAAGGACCTTCCACCAGCCAGAAAACCCCTACTTGAGCACTCCCATCTTAAAGTATCACAAAGCAAACACAGCACAAGGGCTCTTCTATCAAACATGTCCTTGCAATTGCAGTAATCCTGACCCAGTTACCAAAAGGATACATTTGGGAAGTGAAAATAAACCCAGGCATGTCTCTGACTTAGCAGCTCAGCACTAGGACTTATCTTCAGAGGAAAAAAACAACCTCCCCAGCCTGTCTCTGAGCACCAAGTGTTTAAACGTGGACATTTTGGCTACATCTCAGCATCAAGCAGCTCTTACAGCTTCACTGAACTCTGACTGGAAGGGCACTAATTCAAGGCATTGTGATCTTCAGAAGGATTAGTTTCAAATGTTGTTGTACATTAAAACTTTCCTAAAAGGTCAGGCCACATCTGACTGCTGCTCACTGACAGCACAGTCAGCATGGTCAGACATCCCTGAAATGCTTCATGTGGGAGTTTTTGTTGGTTTGTTGGGTTTGGGCTTTTTAAAGCAATCTAGGCTTTCCTTATGGTCACCAGTGCAGAAAGAATTAATTTTTATCCCCTGTATTTCAGAATAAACATTAACTGGACACTGGAGTTCAAAGGTGCTGCCTCTCCCAGGAGAGAATGCAGTTTTCCATGCTGTCCTTGCAGCACAGTGAGATTTCATACCCTGCTCCCTGCATAGCAACAGCACTGAGGAATTCCCATGGCTCACAAACACACCAGTGTGTTCCAAGGGATGCTGTCACTCCCTCAGAGACCTGATGGGTGAGCTCTGGCAGCCCCTCCTGCAGCTGTTCAGCATTCCCACCTACAGCACGGGGCTCCAGTCACCCCCAGAGATCACTGCTCAGGAGCTGGGGCAGGAGGAAGGTGGGAGGAGGTTTGGGAGACCCCTTTGGAATACAAACTTCAATTTCCCTGACAGCCTGGAGCAGGAGCAGCTGGACACGAGCACAGCTACAGACACCAGATCCCACAGGAAAAGGGGGAAACTGCTGAGGGCAGGAATGTTCTCAACAGCTTTAGCAGATCCTCTACAATTTGTGCACGAGAGCATTCCCTCTCCTCTCTGAGCCAGAGAGCTCAGCTGGAGCCGTTGGTGGCTCTGGACAAGACACTGCTCTAAGGGCAGCTCATACACAACAGGTATTTAGGAGATACTGGGGAAAACAGGGCTGTGCTGCTGCTGCTGAGCTCACAACTGCCTCAAATGGTTTCATTTCAGAATTATCTCCATCCACTATTTGCAACCATGCCCAACAGCAAGTGCTGGGTCCAGGGTCATTCTCTCCACAAGTATTTGTGAGGACATGTAGCTTAATGAGGGCAATGTCAAAGACAACATTACAGAGCAGGGAGGGCCCCACTGCAGCTGACCCAGCACCAGAAGTCTCAGCACACTCACACCCCACAATTTATCACCAGAGTTTGATTCCTGAAGCAACTGCACTTCCCAGTGCAAAAATGCATCAACATCCCTGATGCCCTGGGAGTAGACAACAGCAGCTCTGCCAAGACCCACCATTCCTCAGATGTGTGTCCTCATGCATAGATAAAAAGTGCAAGGAAAACCAATTTATGAACTTTCCATTATAATTTAAAAGGGCTGTGGTCAGAATTCACAATTATTTTTAAATTCTCACATACTTAAGTTCAGTATCTATAGATCAGACACTTCTTAAGCCACAGAGTGTGGACACAGAACAATTTTCCTCACTGGAACATTTTCAAGCAGAATTAAAGGACCCACCATGACCAAATAATGCCCCAGGCAGGGGTTGCTGTCAAATTAAGTCTTGTGGTACCAATTATTTTGGCATTTATATACCCACAAATCAAGTTTACAAGTAAGATAAAATTGATCTAGGTTTGGTCTGGGGCTATTTTTGCTCAGCAGTTCTACACACACACCCTCAAAAAACTTCACTGGCTTTTAGTTTGAGCAACAATAGTTTGGAAGTTCTTCAGACATTAAAAAAAATATTGTGGCAAGAAGATTAATAAAGTACATTAGTGCTTTTAAGTAAGAAATTTAATAACTTATGCTCAAGTTAAAGCTTCTTTAAGTGATTATCAGCAGTTTGGCTTTCTCATTGAAGGATTTCCAGTCCCATTAATGATGCCTGTTAATTGTGACAGAATGACTGCAGACCCAGAAGCAAGATGAGCTGGCTTCTCCCATATGGAATGTCCAGATCTGAGGATATGCTTATCAAATGTGTGTCTGTAAGTAAATGAAGGCAGCTGGGCCTGGCAGGGCAGGCTGAGGACTCACCTTGCTGGAGGAGCTGTCGAAGTGCATCCCACAGGCTTTGCAGCTATGCTCAGGAGCAGTGGGAGAGGGGAAGGAGCTGTAGCCGGGGTTGGAATAGGCCTGGGCTCGCGCTGCCGCCGGCGGCTGCATCTCCTCGGGGGAGCCATCCACACAGAACCAGTTACAGCAGCTGGCCCACATGGTACCTGCAGGGAAAACAGCTGGCAGCGCTGGCAGGGACACAGGCTGCCAGCTGGGGTGACAGCACAGCAGGACACGCAGCTCAGTGCCCACCCATGGGTCACTTCCAACAGCACGTTTGTTGGTGTCGATCCTTCCTCTGACAAGGGCACACAAACCCCGCACATGTGGGGGTCAGCATGATGCAGCTTGGTGAAAAGGGACAAACAAAGATCAAAAGAACTTTATTACTGTGACTTCATAGAGTTTAGAGACTACAGTGAAGATAAAATGTATGTTCCACTTGGCTACATCAGATTCTGAGTTTGCTGTAACAGGCTGTTTCTATTTCACATAAGGACGTAATAATGCATCAGGAAAAGAACATAAAAGCTCATATTATATGGCACAAAACAGTTAAATAAAATCAGCAGCAGGATCTTAGATGGCTATTCCTCAGCTTTATCCTAAATCCTTCTACAGATTTACAGCTACAAATCCAAAAAGATAAAATAAAAGCAAGGACAGCTGAGCCACTGATTTCACACACTGCAGTTCTAGGCTGAATTTACAGCATTACAAGGCTAAATCATCACACAGCAGGTCAATGTCAGTGATGTAAGAAAATCAGATACTGGCTTTGGTAACTTGCTTGGGGAAACAACTGGAGCTGAGACACAAAATCAAAATGTTTATTTTTTCAAGTTAGATTTTATATGTATGCACACATACACACACAAACACACACTTACCAAAAATCCTAACACAGTCCACTGCAAAATATTCAGTTCCAAAGTCTTCTTAGACCACCTCTGCTGCAATATTCCAGAAACACACTGCTATAAACTTGCTTTTGGGAGTTTACAAAGAAATCTGAATTCATCTGGGCATTCAGTTTCTGGAGCACACACCATGTGTCATCACTTATGGGTAAACTGAATACAAATTGCCTCCTCTGCATTTCTGCTCTCGCATGGGAGCTCCTGAACTGTTTCTTTTATGTCTTAAAAATCAGCTCCCTCACTGATAGTGTTCAGCAACTGCTTGATTTTATAAACTTCTGGAAATAAAACATCTCTCAGCTGCACAGCCAATTCATTGCTCTTTACTCAGTAAGTATTGTCACTGTGAAACTCCAGATTCCCAAGGGAGCAGGACTGGGAAGGGAATCCTAAAGGTTATTGGGTATAATATGCTCTTTTTTTAAGCTGTGCTGAAACTTTGGGTCTGATGTACTTTAATTGGGAAGCTTTTGCACTCTGGTGCTGTTCCAGTATCTGTTGCTTTAGTGGCATCTTTGATCCTGTCAGAACCTGGCTGAATCTGGCTGGTCAGAGTCCCTGCTGTCCTGGCAAATGCCTTTCAAAGCCCACAGTGTGAGCTCAGCCAGGAGCCCTCCCTGCAGGCTCAGCACATTGCAGAGTTTAAATACAAATCTACACGTTCACACCATGGATTCACGGTGGAGCTGATGTGCTCTTTGCTGCAGTGGAAATGACACTTGGGCTGGCACCCAGATCCCAATTAATAGTGTGGATTGCACTTAGGCTGGCAATGAGATCCCAATAAATACATGGAGGAAATCACTGCACGAACAGAAATAGTCAATCATCCATCTCTATTAGCTTTGCCCTGCAATCAAACACGCACTTTAGATGGCACAGATAAAGAAACAATTACCCTTTTTCTCTCTGCATGTTAATTTCCAAGCTCTTTGTTCAACTCAGAAGTTAACAGAGCCTTTCTTTTGCAAAAATACAGAATTCCTACTTGAAATCACATTCTTTGGAGGGTTAATTTGTTCCTAGGAATCACAAATCTAAACAACATGAAAGCTGCACAGTCCAACAAGCATTCACAGCCTCCAGAGCAGTGGAAAACTGCATCCAGAGTTCAGCTCCCTTCCTGTTTCAAGGACCCCTGCAAGCTGAAGGCCACCCACGATAACAGAATACACAAATGCTACTGCCTGCCCCCAAAAACTTTGTTTTCCTAAAAAACGACAGCCTACTAATTCACTCTGGAACATTGCAACACATCAAACATTGGGAAGCAAAACACAAAGCAGTGCACAAACTGGGATAAAATGAGGCACAGCTCAGCATTCAGCTGGGGTTGTAGCTCTGTTATTGCCAGGAATTAAAAGGCCAACAAAAAGCTCGGATGTTGCTTTGGAAGAACCTTGATCCTGCTCGACTACAAAAGCATGGAAGGGAAATGCCTATAAACAAACAACAAGCAGGACTGTCCTCTGATCCATAACATTTTTCCAAAGGTCTCTCTGCCCTTGAATAGAAAGGAGCACAAATGTAAGACACCTCTGTAGGTGGCTACAGCTGCACTAAGACAGCAGCAAGAAATACAGGTAAGATTCAGCAGCTGCCTCAAGAGGGATTTTCCATTTTTCTGGACAGGATCAGCTTTAGAGCCAAGGAAATGAGCACTGCCACTGATAGAGGACTCCAAATTACAAGCAGAATGCCTCAGTGGAATTTCAGGATGACAATTTCTTTGATAACTCTACAGTGTTTGCTACAGCAAAATTATTCACTTATTTATTCTCTTACCCACCTGGAGGTATGTGGTCAGCTCATTTCCCCAAGAGATGGATGGATGGATGGATGGATGGATGGATGGATGGATGGATGGATGGATGGATGGATGGATGGATGGATGGATGGATGGATGGATGGATGGATGGATGGATGGATGGATGGATGGATGGATGGATGGATGGATGGATGGATGGATGGATGGATGGATGGATGGATGGATGGATGGATGGATGGATGGATGGATGGATGGATGGATGGATGGATGTTACAGATGTGGCAGTCTGAGGGTCAGAACCAGAGAGTCCTGCCCTGTCTAAATCCTGTCAATTCCCTGCAAAGGAGCTGCTGTTCTGTACCCAAAGAGCTCCACAGTACATCAAAGTGACAAATTAATGCCCAGACAAAAGAACACCCAGTGGAAAAAGCTACTTATGTGTTGTGCTCCAGGGTTGGGAAAATACAGTAACTTGGTTAATAACAGTGTGACAGCTTGGAAAACTTAGTGACAGCATAGATTTCAGAACATCTTGAATAAAAGATGTGGACTTACAGGCAGAGCTGACATTACAGGCACTTCTGATAGCAGCATTATCCTTGGACAAGGTGCCTGCACTGCCTCATGGAGCCACAGAAACAACTGCTTGAGCCACAGAGCTGAGCTGGGTTTGGCAAACTGGAAGTTCCGTGGCAGACACCCAACAGTGACTGCTGGCAGCCAAAAAGCACCTGCCCTAAATCCTAAGTGCGCGGTGTGCTTGGAGCATCTGCCAGGGCAAAGGGAGAGGGAGTTTCATCAAGGGTGGAGACACAAGATCAAACATCTACCCCAGACCTGCAAACACATCCACCCACATGGCAATCAGCACCCTGGGAAGGGGCTGTTTCATCTTCTCTCTTCAGCTGCTTTAAGGAAAGCCAGAAGAAATCTAATAAATGGCAGGGAGATGCTTCCCATGGACAAAGTGGTGCCAGCACTCCACCATGCTCTGCTGGACTACTTTCATTGATCTGATTATTTATTTTTCCAGTATGAAGCCGTGCATGCCATGACTCTTTTGACTGGATTTAAACAGGAGAGTGAAATTCATTTCATCACCAGTTCATTAACACGTTCTACACAACACCGCAAGTTCTATAGTAATTTAATTCTGAAGGAAATACCAGTGATGTCAAAGTGTTCCTCCAATACATAGTTGAAGAGAGGATTCATAATGCAGCCTTGGATTCCTATACTTAACCATCTTAATCTAAAAAAGTGTTTGAACTCAGGTTCTCACTCCATATGCAATATCACTGCCATAACCTTGCTAGCTGGAGTATCAGGGATCACAGCCTCCACACAGGATTTATTACACATGCTGTTTGGATTTCATCAAAGGCTAGGCTGTGGCTGCAGAGGGAAACTGTGGTTTATGTTTGAATATAAAATCTGCCTTTATTTTCCTAAGGGTACAAACAACAAGGGACTAGAGCAAGCAAAGGAACATCTCAGAATCAATGAGCTTCCAGCTCTGTATAATAAAGCTCTTGAGGACTGGGTCTGGCTCCTTTTCATGACTGCTTAGGAATTCAGCAGCTGGAATGCAGCAGCACCAAGGAGACACTTGAATCAAGGGATCAAAAGGAACTGAGCTCCCAGAAGCAGCTGATTCTACTCCCACATGAGAAGAAACCACAGCAGCAAGTAGTTCTGCTCCTGAGAGGCCTTTAACCACTGGAGCAGCAGGGCTGGTGACCCTTGAGGCTACTGCAGATGGAGCTGGGTGCCAAAAAGGGAGGGAGATGGAGGAGAGCAGCTCTGCCAGGGCTGCCCTGCAGTGCTCTTTGCTCATCAGCCCAACAGCTGCCCTCACACCTCCTCTGCTCACCACAGTGAGCTGCTTTTCCACCGGCTCCCTGAACCCCCAGCTCCTCAGCCATCAAGAGACACCCTCCTTTCCTTCCCCCTCACAACCTTCTTGGGGCCTTCAGCACCTGCAGTGAGCAGCCACAGATGCTCTACAACAGCACACACTGTCCTCCACAACTTTCAACACAACGCACCAACCCTGGGATAATGCTGATTACAACATCATTAGTTCCTGCCACTTCCAGAAGATCAAGGAAATTGTTCAGGAGGACAAAAAGCGACACTGTGGCTTTAAATACTCATGTATTGATAAGTCTCTTTTAAAATTATTATTTTTGTTATTAATCCGTGCTATAGCCCCTGTAAAATGAATCAGATTTCATTTTGATGAATAATGTTTGAAATGGTTGAAGTATTTAATGAGTTAACCACCTTGGTGCCCCATTAATAGTGTTGCACAATTGCTCATTGTTACAATTTACTATTTTTTTTTAATTTCAACAAACCTGCACTGATAAGAAATGCCTTGCTAAAATTAGTTTCACTAATGACCTACTACTTCCAAACTGAATTCACAGTAAGGTCAAAAAAACAATATTTGCTTGATAACAGAGCTATAGAATAATCTGATCAAATGCCACTTATGCACAAAGTATTATTTTTATCAGCCTTTGTCCCAGGCACAGACCTGAATTATGATAAATGGGAGCAGCCATATGTTGGGACAGCTGGAAAAGTCAGCAAATGAGCCACCTGCAGAAGGCACAAGGGAAGGAAGCAGGTTGCCAGTCTGAGCATGACATTTACAGACATGGTGTCTCCACTAGTACAGAGCAGGAGAAAAGGAAGAGAATGGACACAAATCAATCATGAGGAATTTATGTCTAATTTACTGTATAAAATAACTGGACTGAGACTGTCAGATTTTTATCTAGGGATAGGAAAAAATATGTTTATGACTAAAGGTACTAATTCACCTGCCCAAGGTGACAGCATGCACACCTTGAAAAAATGAGTGAATAAATACCAGCACTGGATCACAGCTAGAAACAGGAGTGTTCAGGTGGGGGAGACACAAGAAATTGTGTTATGGAAGGAGGAAACACGTTTCCATTTTGTTCTGTGCCTTTCAAAAGCCTGGAGATATTTCCCATCTCTAATCATCTAAATATGCAACACAGACAAACATTTAATTGCTCACCAGTCTGATCAGCAACTTTGATGTCAGTTTAAAACTCTTCAGGTGAGGCCCTGCTCAGCTACAAAGGCAGAGAGCTCAGACCAGTCCGCACAGAGCGCTCAGAACAGGGCGTCCAGGACTTCTGAGTCCCTTTGGTTGTGATCCTGTGCATCCAGGAGTGCCTGTACTGCCTGGCACATCAGGGGATGCCCTTGAACAGCACCCACATCCTCATGTCCAGAGGCTGGCCAGAGCAGGCTGGCACTGGCACCCCATTCCAAACGCTGCTACACCTTCCCCACTGAACACGCGCAGTCCCTGGCTGGAAGCGCAGCTTGTGCCCAGCAGCAATAATCCATCTTCAGCCCCTCTTCAACCAACACAGCTGCACCTGTGCTTCTCCACCCTGCGGATGCCTCCAAAAGCCTCTCTGTGTGTGGGCTGGGGAAGCTGGGCAGGCTCAGCAGATCCCACCAATGCAGGCAGGAGCAGATCCCGGAGCGTGGCACACAGCTGGGTTCGGCAGCGCCGCGGCTCCGAGCGTGCGAGCCCAGAGGAAGGGAACCTGGCCACGCACCAGCATTTTAATGAAGGAAGTGACATCCATTTACCACAGAGCAGAGAGTAAACAGGCCAGGGTGCAAGGCAGAGCAGGAAAAAGCTGGAATGGGGCCACACACAGCTCTGCTGAAACGCCAGCGCCTTCAACTGCTGCTGAGCCCAGAGAAGCACCAAAAATCACTTCCCCCTTGCATGGTACAGAGGAAACCATCGTGCAGACAAAGCTGCTTTTATGCTGCTATAACCTGGTTTACATTGAGCAGACCATTTGCCAGGTTACCCCTTGGAAAATTGGCTTAGCTGAGAGGAAAATTATCAGCTCTTATATACATGAAAAAAAATCCAGCAGGTATTCCAAGAGCATTCTGCAGCTGCACCAGTGCTTATCAGTACTGCCAGCAACACTTGATGCTGTTCAGGAGGTTTACAGACAGATCTCCACCCAAAATCCCACCAGCACTGTTACAAGCACGAAGGATCTCAGCTGCAAGTACCTCTTTGAATCTAGAGAGCTGCAATTCCCATTTGAAATGGAGAAAACCGTTTTAGAAAGCTGTGCAATTTATAGAGCATTGCTCAGAAAGCTAATTCCAAAACAGACACCTTCTCAGTTGACTCCCAACTTTGCACCTGGAATTGCAAATACAATTCTTGCCCACTTTCCCTCTACTCTGTAGCACAACTAGCACCAAATTTCCCCCATTTTAATATGAGAAGCTTGAAAATCCTGGATTGGATACCAGAGGTATTATTTTAATATAAACTGTTTATTTTGACCCAAAGTTGCATTTTATATATTGAAAAATATTTAGATAAAAAGTTCTTTTTGCTATCAACTGTAATTAGGTCTCAAGACATCTGCCAAGATGGAAAGTCAACTGCCTTTTTCTTTGCATGTCAGTGACATTCTCCCAGCAAGTTAACAGAAACCAAAACAAAGGGATTACTGAAATCACGTGATTTTAGAAAATTATTTTTCTTACCCAGTCTATCTCAATTCCTTAGTCCCATACCCGTTCCCAAGGGACACACTGTGACCTCGGGCTTATCTCCCTTCCACTCTGCTCTTATGCTGAAAAACAATTCAGAAAGCTGCTGTGCTCTTTCATACTGGTTGGATATTCATCAGCAAGGCTGAATTAAATCAGTTGCAATGATAGCAGGAACCAAGTCAGGAGGAGAAGAAAGGAGACTCTGGAGAAGCAAGATTCCAGAGTACTGTTTTGTTACCATTCCCAGCATCCTGCATGGCTGGATGTGTCTCTATCCTTAGCCTAACATCCAAAAGTATCACTGAAAGTGGAATCTCTCCACCAAAACCTCAGCAAGGAGAAGTCCAGGAATCCTAGACTATCCCCTCCCAGCTCAACCACTCATTTTCATTATGGAGAAAAAGCTCCATGCTGGATTTTTCTGTCCATTCATTCCTTTCATCACAGTTTTTATTGAATTCAGCTGCATGGGTCACTGCTAAAACTGTAATTCCAACAGACAGCAATAAATACTCAACGAAAACCTGAGCATTTAAATAACTGTGCAGCATCCCTAACCAGCCCTACTCCAGAAAGGGTCCATCCTATCCAGATTTCACCTCAAAACCCACCTCAACCACTCTTCCATGACAGCCACGTGGCAACAGCTGGGGGAGGTTTCCTGGATCTTTGCCCACCTGGAAGTCAGAAAGAGGCTCCAAAGGCTCAGCAGGAGCTTTTCAGGGTGTCCCCCTCCTCCTCTCCAGAATACAAATACCTCCCTCTCTCAGCAAATTTTACAATGCCCAGAATAGAACCTTGCTGAAAATAAGTTTCTGCTGTGCTGAAAAACACTGCTGTGACTCAGTGACTTCAGTGGTTGGTATTGCAAACAAACAGGAGCAGATCCATAGTTTAACCAGGGAACAGCTTGGAATCCCCTCTGCTGGAAGGTGATTTCACCACGGGAGAAGATAACCACTGTCAGATGGTTTAATTATACCCTTTCTCCTAAATGGTGGAATTCAGAGAGCTGGAGGGAAAAAAAGGGGAGGAGAAAGGATAAAAATTTGTATTTTCATCACATCTCAAGTTCCCTACTTCAGGTAAAAAGAGATCAAGCTATTTCCATTAGAATCCCTGGCCTCAAAGGCCTATGGTTACAGTCACACATCTTGTTTCATTATGACAACTGCATAAATTATATATTCAACAACAGTTCAGCTTTGGAATGAATTACAAGTATATGGGGGCAGTTGAAAGGATAAGAGAGAGGTGCATTATCCAGATACAGCTCCTCAAACTCAGGATTGGACAAGACTAGCCAGAATCACATTAAATTTCCCTGAAACTGGGATTACAACTGACCCTAAAACTCCACAGACTCTGGGCTATCATTGTGTCTCAGGCACCCAGAACTGAGAGTGTTTGCTGATAAATTACAACACCAGTTGGAAATCCTGGAAATTACTTGTCACACCAAACTACAGGTTTATTTTTAACCAGAAAACTTCTAAATTTCACCCCTCCAAAATCAAAATATAGTCTCAAAATTCCTCACATGCCAAACCTACTCTTCTCCCCACCTTATTCCAGGAGCTGCTGGAAGAAAATGAATCTAAACCCCATGGAATTTATACAAGTGGAAAAGTGTACGTGCAGAAGGACTGGATGCACCACAGCTCTGTGCAGACTGGCAGGCAACCTCTAACCTATTTAACTGGAGCCTGAAAAAAGATAATTTTTATTTGGCTAGACTGAAACAGATCTGGATGTATATAACTGAGGCCCACTGTAACAAGTACAAACACTGCAGACTCATTTCATAGCTATGCCTATTCCAAATTAATCTGAATTCAAATCCAAACTAGGTGCTGAAATAGAATAAAATGCAGCTGCAGATCTTCTCCTTCAGCACACACGTACACAGACCAGCTCACATGTCACATCTGACATGGTGTGGGAAGCTCTGCCCTCCCAAGCTGCAGAAATACTTAGAAATTAGTCAGCAGTTAAAAAAAGGTCCAGGATGTTGAATACAAACCTGAGGACTGGTTTTGTTCTTGAGATAAGGAAAGACAGTGCGCTAAAAAAGTGAGTTTGTTTATGGGTTAGTCACCTCTCTGGAGAAGGGAAAATACCCCACTCTCAACTGAAGGAAGTTAATACAGGTGGGACTTCGAGAGGGACTTTGAAATTGCACTCTTAAAGCATCTCCATAAATATTATTCTTGTGCCAATCTCCATTTAGCATGGAAGCATCTCAAATTCAGAATTGCTTACATGCAGCCCTGGAGAAGAGCTTGAAAACTGAGGGAAAGTTCAAGCTTTAGTACCCAGTGTGTGCCAGCAGGACAAGCGTGACCTTTCTACAGAATTCATGGGACAGATGTTTTGGAAAAGTCCATTTCCAAACATCTGCAGTGTTTGTTTCTAGAGCTGGAAGGTTCTACATGGTTCCTTCACCACCATCTTTGTTCGACTGCTGTGCCTCTCTCCCTCCAGCCTCACTCTCTGCAGGAACATTAAGGACTGAGAAATGCAAAACAAAGCAGCCTGAAATCTGGCCTTTATTCAAACAGAAACATGAACAAACCCAGCAGCCATCTGGTCCCATGGTTTGGTTGCTGAGTTGAGGGGGCACATCCTGAGGAGATTCTGCAAGAGCTCACAAGGAGCTCACAAACCATTCAAGTAAACATTTGTCTCCAGGAACTAAAGCCATGATCCAAAACAAGGTAATTCACCTTTACTGCCACATCTCTATACATCAATTATGGCAGAACATTTAAGTTCTTTGTCAAGCCATTTAATCACTGTGTGCATCACCAGCAGAGGCAGGATGGGCATCCTTTGATGGCAGAGCTCACCTAAACTCACCCAGCTCATGGATCAAACAGAAAGTGCTGAACATGGAAGCCCAGTGGGATCCAGCCCAGTGGGATCCAGCCCAGAGAATGTACTTTCACAGAAGACTGAGAGGACAGCAGGTAAGGAAAGCTTCAGCCAGGGACCTGCATCTCCTGGATTCCCCACCTTTGTCACACAGGGAAAATTTCCCATACATGGCCCAAGCCAGCAGGGTCACATTTCAGTGCAGGCTACTGGCAAGCCCAGACATTCAGACACTGTGAGTCAGTGCTCCAGAAATCACTGGAGTTTAGAAACCAATAAATCTATTTCATTTTGGGTGGGTTTTTTAATTCACCTTCTATTGGGGTTTTTTCTTCAACCTTTGCAGTACACAGGCACCGTCACATTTTCATTTTGCATCTCTGTAACTGGCAGGAGCATTTCTTTCCATTCTGCAGGTTTTTTCTTTGTAAAATGACAGACGAGATTTTCATATTAGACTAAATCCTGGTGCTGGGGCATGAAGAATAAAACCAGACCAACTATCGTGGAGGGTGGGAACGTACTAAGCAGTGTTGTACTTTCACACAGCCCCCTAACAACAAAGAAGACTTACTTTTAAAATAAAGCCTCAAAACATCTTCACTTCTGTCCTCAGATCCCAAACAAACAACAACTTATCTGACATTTCAGCACAACCAGACAGGACTGCTGCCAGTAAGAAGCTCCCTATGACACAATCTTTTCCACCACTGACCTGATAACATCAGCATGACCTTTCTTCTCTTTTAAACTCTACTCTTCTCAGTTCAATAGTTCAGCAAAAATTGACCCATTTTTGATTACACAAACCAAATCAGATACCACATATTCCTATTAAAAAAAAAAAATTAAACTCAGAATTTCAAAAAATATCATTGGGTAGTTATTTTCAGATTAGTAATGAAATAAATAATGTGGGACAACTCAGGGTGAGGACTTTTAGTTTCAGTTTCCAGCTCTGCAAGTCTGGGCCACTTCAGTTCTCTGTGCTTGAGTTTTCCATAAGCAAAATACAGATAATGCCCCATCAGGGAATGGAATCAATATTTCATTTCTTCAAAGCAGTACTGTATTCATAATGGAATTAAATACTTTCAGAGAACTCCAGAGCTCATAGAAGTGAGGCACTTAAGGGAAGAAATGCGAGTGAACAACCTCCTTGCAATTCTGCAGAGCATCCTAACAATTTTACAACACAGAACACTAAAAAAACAGGACAAAACAAGATGATTTTGAGGCCAAATTAATGATTGACACAAGTGCAAAAGACAATGCAAGTCCTGTTCCTTTTTTTTGTTTGTTTGAACTCTTTCCCAGTTCACAATAAAAATTATGGTCAACATGCAGAATAAAGAAGCTTGCTTTTACTTAAAGGGGCATTTCAACTTAAAAATAAAAGTGTTACTGACAAATGTGGCCTTTAAAAAAACACTACAAAACAAAAAAGACAAACATTCTTGGGACTCAAGGTGTGATGGAGGCAGCATGCTGTCGAACTGCTGGCTAGGAAAACATCTTAAATCTTTTGTACATGTTTAAAAACCCTTTTCTTTAGAAGTTTAGGTCAATACATTTAGACTGTTTCCTCCAATATCAAGGATTAAGGCTGATCAGTCAAGCACACAGCGGACAGTAACAGTTTCTACCCTTTCATTCACATTTTCCTTCATTAGGGGAATTTTTAGGAAACACCACCATGTATTAGATTTAATGTCAAGCCTGCATT